TGGGCACAGTGGTGCAGGCCTATAATCCCCAGCAATTTAAGAGGCCAGCCTCAGCATTTTATTAAGACACTCTCTCAAAATAAAAAATAAAAATGGCTGAGGTGTAGTTCAGTGGTAGAGCTCACCTGGGTTCAATCTCCAGAACTGTACAAAAAAGAGAGAAAGAACCTGAGTCTTAGCTGAGCAAGAGAGAGTAAGAATGAGTCAATCATAATGCACTCTGGGAGGAAGGGAGGAAGCAGCTTTGGGGAAATCTCAAAAACAGTACATTGTTTGCCTTTTATCTAAAGGTTGGGAAACAGTGTCTCTTACTGCTCTTGTCAGATCTATTGGGCTATTGGATCCCAGTTGCCAGTTTTTGTTTGTCTGTTTGGGGAACATGGTTAGATTTATTGGAAAATAATTTGCTAGTATTATAAACTTAGGAATGGTTGAAACAAACATTTTGGACATTGAAAGAAGGAATGAAGAGTTAGGAAGATGTAAATGTTGGTGTTTCCTCAAAGATCCAAAGATCATTAAATAGTGCTAACTATATATATATATATAAAACCTTTTTTGGGGGGGTTAACTAGGGATTGAATTCAGGGGCACTCCACCACTGAGCCACAACCCCAGCCCTTCTTTTTTATATTTTATTTAGAGACAGGTTCTTGCCAAGTTGCTTAGCACCTTGCTAAATTGCTGAGGCTGGCTTTGAACTCACCATCCTCCTGCCTCAGCCTCCTGAGTAGCTGGGATTACATGTGAGCACCACTGTACCTGGCTATATAACCTCTTTCTACCCCAGCTTTATTAAGGCATAATTGACAGGTAAAAATTACATATAATTACAATGTACAATGTGAAGTTTTGATATATGAATGTTTGGGTTTGTTTTTCTGGTCCTGGGCATTGAACCCAAGCCTGGAGCATGCCAAGCACATTCTCTAGTGCTGAGCTACACCCAGAACCTATTTTATTCTTATTATTTATTTATTTATTTATTTATTTTTATTGCATTGTACTGGGACTGGAATGCAGGAGTGCTCTTCTACTGGACTATCCCCAGCATTTTTTTATTATTTAATTTAATTTTATGTTTGGTACCAAGGATTGGACCAAGGGGCACTTACCCACTGAGAGCCACATAACCAACCTTTTGTTTTTAATTTTGAGTCATGTTCTTTCTAAGTTGCTTAGGTCCTCAATGAATTGCTGTGGCTAGCCTCTAATTTGTGATCCACCTGCCTCAGCCTCCTGAGCCACTGGGATTATGGGCACTTGGGCTTATTTCATTTTTAAAAGATGTGAAGTATGGGGAGAGGGGAGTGAGAAATGAGGGAAGGGTTAGATATGTAGTTGTAATCCCATTTTCTTCCTGATTATAAAAGCAGTATAAACATGGCAAGGTGGCTGGTCCTATAGTTCCAGCAACTCAGGAGGCTGAAGCAGGAGGATTGCTTGAGCCCAGGAGTTGAGGCCAGCTTAGGTAGCACAGTGAGACTCCATCTCAAAAAAATATGTAGGACTAGAGATATGGCTCATTGGTAGAGTGCTTGCCTAGCATTTTAAGGATCTTCCCAGCACTGCAAAATGAATGAATGAATGAATGAATAAATATAAGTGTAAAAGTACTAATTAGTCATACAAAATAAATAACATGAGAAAATAAAGAAATCTCAATCTTCAAGCTTCCAGAGGTAAAAATAAAGATATATAAATACTGTCTTTAGACCCCGCTTTCCCACTTATATATGTCTAGATTATTTAAAAAGAACATCTTGTGGGAGGCCCTGGGTTAGATCTCCAGCATCAAAAAATAACTATAAATAAAATATAAAACATCTCATTATTAATAGCTGCAAAGACTTCTATGACATAGATGTGGTTGAATTTGTTCTACAAAATGTCATATGGATAATTTGTTTGACTATGACCTATGAGAGTTAGGAAAACAAAGTTTATGACAGTGGTACAGCGCCCCATGCCAATGGAAATAATACCAAACAACCTATGGTAACAGTAATTAATATGATTTTTAACTTTGACTTCAGCCTATAACCAACACAAATACCCTCCCCACATCAAAACCAGCTCTCACCACACCCCTGCTGCTCTCCACCTGCACCACCCATCAGCAAGCTTGATTGAGAATCCATTTGTAGAATTAGAGTGGTCTGGATCACCAGGAAGTAAGGACAGTTGTGGATTACATGATGCATTTTTGTGTCTCTTCCAGCTTGAGGCAAACTGATGAAATATTTCCATCAATAGATTGATTCTTAGGGATCAGTGAGTGAGGGGGTGGTCCCTTAAAAAGTGGGAATACCCCGGGAAGGACAGGTTCTATGTCTAAAATCACTGTCAGTCTTTAACCCTTCAGAATAGGCGTATCTGATCAGTTTTCTTTCTTTACTCAGAGGATCCTCAACTGCTTCAGGTGTGAAATTCCCAAAGATTCTCTATTAGGAGGTAAATCTATGAAGGAAGGTGAGGCTAGGAAGCCAAAATCCCAAAAGACATAGCTTTCCAGCTTTGGCCACTGACGGTCTTGGTTTTGGGTAGTTAAAATTTGGGGGAAAGAAAACTGAACTTCAAGTTCCCTCTGAACAGTCTGTGCTGAATGTGACTCCCAAGGGTGGCTCTCCTGTTTCTACTCTGCCTTGTCCTACCTTCCTCTCAACCTGGCCAGGACTCACCTTCCACCTCACCTGAATAACCTTGCTGTTTGAATTCTTATCTCAGTAATGACACCATCCATTGCTCCCTTGTTAAGGTTTAGCCCATTTTTATTTTCTCTCTCATCTTCACAGACAAACTCTAAGCAACAGTTTCAGCAGATTTTGCCTCTGGTCTACTTCCAGATCCTTAATTAAGTTGCTGAGGCTGCACTCAGACTTGCCATCTTCAGGACCACTCCTTGAGCTTAGGACACCCTAAGTCTCTGAATCACCCCCAAGACTATTGCCAGAGTCTCTTGATAGTGGCGCCGAATATGTCACAACTGTGTCTAAGTGACTTTGCTGTTGTTAGGATACTGGGGATTGAATCTAGGGGCGCTCTACCACAAGCTATATCTCTAGCCCTTTTTATTTATTTATTTTTTTATTTTCAGATAGGGTCTCACTAAATTGCCCAGGCTGGCCTTGAACCTTGATCCTTCTGCGTTAGCCTTGGGAGCTGTTGGGATTCAGGCAAGTGCCACTGTGCCTGGCACTTTATGGCTTTTATGATGGCCAAAACTCCATACAACTATCTTCCCAACCTGGCTCCCACTTTTTTTTTTTAATATTTTTTTAGTTGTGGTTGGACACAATACCTTTATTTTATTTATTTATTTTCATATGGTGCTGAGGATTGAACCCAGGGCCTAACACATGCTAGGTGAGTGCTCTACCATTGAGCCACAACCCCAGCCCCCAGCTCCCCTTTTTTAACTGCATTCTTCACATCTCATTCTCCTGCTCACACACCTTTCCTAAACAGCCTGCAGGAGCCTACATTTGTCCATGCTGCTCCACAGGACTTGAGCAGGGTTTCCAGTCTCAATTTGGCTTTATCCTTCAAGAGATGAAGCAAATGGAACCCTGTAACTTGGATTTCATTGTTCCTTTCCTTGAGTTACCATTGAATTTTGCATAATCATTATCTTCTCACCTAGACTCTGAACTTGTTGAGGGCAGGGACTTATTCCTGCACTTAGCTTGGTGTCAAAGTCAATAGTCACTCAACACAGTATTATTGAATTAAGTAGTCCTTACAGTTTGTACTCCATGTGGGGCTGATAACTGCCTTGTGTTGTGGTCTTTTCAGGTGTATGAGGTGTGACCAAGCCTTGATATGACTCATTATTTAACAAGCATTTATATATCCAAATGACAGCTGCTTCCTCAGTCTTCTTTGCCTTGGAAGATTGGAGACAGTCTAGCTGCACTGTCTGGACTTTTGGAACACCTCTTGGATACAACTCTGACATTTAATAGTACATCTTTTCAGTATCTTCCATGGTAGCAATTTTTTTTTCATTCAACATTTATTATGTACTTTTCAGCTGCGTGTGGTGGTGCAAATCTGTAATAGCATGGCTCAGAAAGCTGAAGCAGGAGGATGGCAGGTTCAAAGCCAGCCTCAGCAACTTGGTGAGGCGGTAAGCAATCTAGTGAAACCCTGTTTTAAAATAAAAAAATAAAAAGGGCTAGTGGTGTGACGTGGCTCAGTGGTTAAGCGCCCTTGGGTTCAATCCCTGGTACCAATATATGTATGTATTATGCACTTTTCTAACCTAGGCACCATGTTGGTGCTGGGTCAAAAGTAAGATAAATCAGGCCCAGTGTGGTGGCACATGCCTGTAATTCCAGAGACTCAGGAGGCTGAGGAAGGAGGATGCAAGTTTCAGGCAAGCCTCATCAAGTTAGCAAGTCCCTAAGTAACTTCATGAGACTTTGTCTCAAAATACAAAGGAAAAAGGTTTGGCAATATAGGTCAATGGTAAAGTGCCTCCTTATCCTTCATCTCTTGAAGGATAAGTTCTGTGGAGCAGCATTGACAAAGGTAGGTAGCCTATGGTCAGTTCAATCCCTAGTTTAAAAAAAAAAAAGAAAAACAAGATAAATCAGACATAAATTTACTGTTTGGCAAAGGAGAAGAGATCTGGACAATATCTTCAATACAAGGTTCAACGATATCACTCTAGAGGTTGGATTTGATTTTTGAAAAAAAAAGCCAAGTCCTCTGGTTTCAAGTCTCCCAAAGCCACAAGGTGGCTGACAGAGATATCTTCAAGTCAATGTGTTCTGAAGATTTCCATACAGGAGTTCATGTGTTTCCTGTATCCCTCTTCCCCTAAATTAATTTGGCATGGTTAAGATCCAGACACCCACTAAATGAACACATTTTTCTGTACCTTTAGTCTTCCCAGCTAAATTATAAGCTCTTTGAGGGTAGAGGCTGAGGTCCTGTCCTTCCTGTTTTTACTAGTGGGCACATAGTACATACTGGATAAATCTTTATTGACTTACTACTACTGAGTCCAGAACGAGTCTCTTGCCATACCGCACGGATCTCACACTGACTGCTTTCTCCCATGTGCTTTATTCTTCCTAGTAACAGCTTTGCGGATCCTGAGGGACACCAGAGGACCAGCGTGGGGGCACCAGTGGCGGATCTGGGAGTCGAGCTGAGAGTTCCTGCTTCCTGGTTCCCTGGAGCAAGAAGTGTCCTTCGTTGGGAGTCGCGGGAAGGGAGCAGCCCTTCCTGCACGCCGGGCGCCCGCCCCTTCCCCGGTCTTTCACCCCGAGGGTGTCAGGACGGAGGCAGGGGCTGGGTCCTCCTGGGAGACACCCCATTCAGGCAGAAAGTAAAGTTTTCGGCTCCGGGGAAAGGGAGTCGGGGCTCCGCCCGGAGGAAAAGAAGCAGAGGGGCGAAGAGAGTTGGAAGAGAACTGGGGCTGAGACCAAAGGAAAAATGCGTGGCGGGGAGCGACTGGGCTGGTCGCAGAGGTCCTGGTCCCAGAACTGGGATCTCGAGGCCCGCGTCCCCGCCTGGGCGCGCTCAGCCTCCCCCACCGCCGCCTGCCAGCGACCCGCCCCAACCCCGCCCCGCGGCCCAGCCCGGCCCCTCACCGGCCGCCCCCTCCCGGGCGTCCCAGTCTCCTCCCCGAGGTGCCGGTGGCAGGGCCGCCACTCCCTCCGGCTCCCTCCCTCGGCTGCGCGCATCTCATACCAGCCTTCATTCCGCACATTCCAGGCGTCCTCCTGGCAAACTTGAAGCCAGGGGGTGGGGAGGGCCGCAGCTCCCGGTTCCGTCGCCCGCCGCCGCCGCCGCATCCCGGTCAGGTGAGTGGCGCCCGCCGCGCCTTCCCAGCCCCAGGGGGCCCCCTTCCGACCGTGCGCCCTCCGCCCGCCGCGCCGCGTGCTTCCCTCCGGGTGCTCTTTTCTTGCCGCCGTCCGTCTTCCCGCCTTGGACTCCAGAGCTGCAGGCGCGCTCGTCCAGCCGCTTTCTTCCCTTCGTGCTCGGGCGCGCTCCTCCCTGCCCTCTCCCCCGCTTCCTCCCTTCCGTCCGCTCCCCGCGTCCGCTGCAGTCGCCCCGCGATCCCTTCCTCTCCGGGTTGACTCACTCCGCCAGGAATCGGGATCTTCGTGTCTTCCCGACAGTCCCATTCTGGGAAATCTCCTCCCTCCGCGCGCTCCGCTCCGCACACCGGGGCCGGCAGCTGCAAGCTAGGCTCTGGCGGCGCGGGGAGGGTCCGTCCCGCCGTCCCACTCTTCCTTCGCCGGCCCGCGGCACTCTGCCGGAGCCCCCGCACTTTGCTGGTTGACCCCCTGCCGTCCTTGCAGTGCGGTTGCCCGCCTCCCGGGACGCAGCCGAGCCGCGGCTGGGAAGAGTCGGCGCTCGGGGCGAATCAGCTGCAATTGGTGGAGCGCGCGCCCACCCCACCTCCCGCATCCCGGGACCGGTAAGGCTGGGAGTCGGGAGTTGATTAGACTTTGCCAGAGGTCGGGCGTCTAACGAAATCCAGGGACCAGACGAGGAAAAGAGCAGGGCACGTGGAGGCTGTGCCGCTGAGGATCGTAGAGGCGATGCGGATTACAGGGTCGGGAAATTGGCAGTGGAGCCCAGGGACTTTGGGGAAATGGGGTCCGGGTTGTGAAAGGACTAGAGAGAGGCAGAAGCGAGAACATTGGCGACAGAATTGTTTCAGGACCCATAACCCCGTTTCTGCTGGGTTCTTTTCTGTCTTGGAGGAGAGAGTCTTAAAGGGACGTGTACTGGCTGTTTTAAGGGCTCAGGCGATGAGAAAAGTGGGGGACATCTGCAAAAATACCTGCTCCCCAGGGATTGTGAAGCTGTCACCTTTCAGCCTGAGAACTAGTGGACCAGGGGAATGGAACTTCCAAACACTTCCCCTGAAGGCCACCCAGGAGCATGCCTCTGCATATGCCAGGAAGAGGATTCCTGACACACTGGGTGTCTCTGCTTAGTGGGTTCAGATGACGTCTGACTGTGCCAGCCTCCTTAGCTTTGGATGTATGTGAGGGTGATGTCTGTCTATGACTCACTTCGGCTTCCAGTAGGTGGATTTGTTTGTGTGAACGTGAGTGACAGTGTGTGTGCATATTTCTGCTTCAGGAGGGTGCTGAGTCTGAGTGCCTGAGTAGGTAGGTTGTGTGATGCTTCTTCTCTAAAAAGTTTTCTCCATGAGGATTTTGATTATAATTCTGACTTCTTCTTCTCTGTACAGTAGGAGCAGAGGACAGTGTCTTTTTTTTTTTTTTTTAATACAAGGAAGAATTGACTGGTTGTTGGAGTGTGTGGCCCGGAGGCTTCCAGCTACCCTGGACTGGCCAGAGCTGAGAGAAAGCTGTCTACACCTGCCTCTCCCAGACAGCTGTCTTTCTGCCGGAGAGTGGATTCTGTCCTTGCTTGGAATAGTTTGCAGGACAGACTGGTGGAAGGCTAAAGGAAGTTGAGATCTTTGCATTTAGGTGATGGGGTGGTTTGTTGGGAATGTTTGTGGGGGTGAGCCCCTCAGAAGAAAGAGACCATTTTGGATGTTGAGATGTGTGTAGATAGTGCTTTTATTTGACTCCAAGGACAATCAGGTGTTGATGTTTACCAGCTGTGAACTACTTTTACTGGTTCAGTGCTGGAGTTGACCAAGCAATCAAGTGGAAGAATCCCTCATTCTCTTTCTTTGTGTGTGTGTGTGTGTGTGTGTGTGTGTGTGTGTTATTGGGATTGGACACAGGGTCTCTTGCATGCTAGGCAAGTGCTCTACCACTGGGACTACACACCTACTCCTCAATCTCTCATTCTCTACAACTTGCTAGACCACTTCTGTGGGAAGAAGAATGAGTAGCTCATTGCACGCCTGGCAGGAGTGACACAGTATATGGTGGGCAATGACAGGAGGGGCTCATCACAGGCAGATCTGGCTTCATAATTCTTCCTTCATTCCTGATGTGAATATCATGTTTAGGGCTTCTTGGAAGAAAGGAGGGAGAAACTGTCAGAGTTGGGCAGGCTCTGGTCTTTGCCCTTCCATCCACCCTGAGGATGGAGCTACTGTGGTGGGAATTACCTCACCCTCCCACCTGCTCCGGCCGGATGTAGAGTTAGTTCATAGGCAGCACCCAGTGTTGAAAGGGCACAGGTTTAGGGCACACAAATAACAAATAACAACAGTAAATTTAAAGCCCTAGACTTAGTATCCTGATGGATAATATCAAGAAGGGAAGGGTTAATTAATACCCATCCAGAATGTTTGTTGTGAAAACTGAACTTTGAGAAGCACCTACCAGGATAATGCCCAGCACATTCCCAGGGATCCCCCAGCTGATACTGTCTCCAGTATTTTTTAAGCTTATTATAGCAAGGAACCTCTTTTTTCCCCCTGTGTGGATTTTTTGTTTGTGTTTTGTAGTGTTGGGGATTGAACCAAGGGCTTCAGGTTGTATGGGATTTTTTTTTTTTTTTGGTTATCAGGGGTTGAACCCAGGAATGCTTAACCACTGAGCCGTGTCCCCAACCCTTTTTATTTTTGTTTTGAGACAGACAGGGTCCCGCTAAGTTGCTGAGTCTGGCCTTGAACTTGTGATCCTCCTGCCTCAGCCTTCTGAACTATTGGGATTACAGGTGTGTACCACTGCATCTGGCTCATTAACTTCCTCATTTTAAACATGGAGAAACTGAGGTCCGTAGAGGGACTATAACTTTCTTAAAATCATGCAACCTGTGAACACCAGAGCTGACATTAGAACCCATGCCCTTCCCTTTTGCACTCTCCCGCTGGTGTATCCCATATCCCCCATCTCCTCATCTCCCCAGCCACTTTTGTCCAGGCCTGGAGGCTGCTCTAGTCTTATGTGGTGGTGCCTACCATCCTGTGGCTCAGATAAGGTTGTTGGAGGCAGATATACTCTCCTCTGGCCCAATAGAGGAAGAAGCCATTTCACAGGAGGATCTACACAGGTGGAGTCTGGAAAGGGCCTCAGGAGATCCTTCAGATTTATCCTTCTTCCTCCTCCAAGATCTATGCATTACTCTGCCAGGTAGAGAAGGGCTTCCTATCTTTTTATTTTCTTCTTTTTGGTGCTGGGTAGAAGACAGGGCCTGGAGTATTGAGCAACCTCAGCCTTCTCTGTCTTTTCAGATCTGGGATGCAAATGTCACAGAACTTTCTTGGTTTCCATTCTGGTCTAGTGCCTGTGACTGTCACAAAGCAATCCCTATTGCTAAAAGTGTGGCTCCTCCTCCCCCTTCCCAGTGGAACTAAAGGACATTGGTCCCTGGCTTTGGGCCTTACCTTCCTGTAGTTGAGGCCAGTCTAGTGGCAGTTGGAAATTCAGGGCTTATGAGGGTGGCTTTACCTTGCCTGTCTCCCTTTGCCCCTATGACCCTCTCTTGGCAGAAGTTAGGAGACTGCTCTGTTTAAAGCTCTGAAATTGGAGCTGAACAGCTGCTCTCTAGCACCCGGCCCCAGGGGCCCAGGTGGAGGCGGAGAAGGCTGGGGGGGGGGGTGGTAGGGCAGGGCAGGGCAGGGCAGGGCAGGGCCTGGCTTTGTTGCTGGGAGCACCTAGTCAGTCTCCAACTGCTGTATTCTGATTCCAGCCTTGCCTTGACCTCTTCTGAAATGACAGTTTTCTCCTAGCTTTGGTTTTCCTGTCTGATTATCAGTGCTCTTCTAATCAACTGTGTGATCTGGTTTGGGGACCTTCAGCTGGTGGGGACTGGTCCTTTGGGAAATTTTCCATCAGGACTCCCTCCAGTCTAAGTAAGGTCTGTGCTTATAGCCTCTTGTGTTTAATACAGGCCTCTCCTGTAGAGGCGGGAGGATGGGCTGGACTCCAGTGTGGGCCAGCTCCTTGGCTTGGTGTGGTGTGGGCAGGCCAGAGCCCCCATGGGTGGGGACCGGGCTTCCTTTGACCCAAACTTCATGGGAACAATAGACTTCAGAGCAGTCACCAGGGGCAGGAAATGGGAGCTGTGTTAAGGCAGGGGTGACCCTCCTGGGGGATGGGATTGCATATCCGGTTGAGTATGAGGGGCAGTGCAAAGGGCATTGGGGAGGGGCTGATGACACACAGGGTGGGCCACTAGGGTGGGGCTCTTCTCCTAAGGGGGCTGTTGACTCAGAGTGAAACTTGAGCTCTGAAGGCCCATTATTTGGCTGAGGGCTCCGCTTTGTGTCCTCTAGCAAAGATCTGCCAGCCTCTGCTCATGCCAAGCTCACCCCTGCCAAAACCATGCCTTCCCCTTCCCTTCGAGCCCCTGAGATGTCTTGGTGAGTTGCCCTGGCCAGGATAAAAGGCTAGGGTTGTTTCTTCCTGGCTGTCCTCCATCCTGGCCGCCCTCCATCTTGGCGTTGAGCCTCTAGTAATAGTCGATGGCAAGGCGATGTTGTTGGGCAGAGCTCTTGGTGGGGAGGCAACAGACCTGGGGTGACTGGATGAGGAGGGATTTCCTCAGCCACAGTCTGTAAGACAGGCAAGGGGAGATTCCTGCCTGAGGCAGGTGGTGGAATGTTCTGGGAGGCAGAAGATTGTTATCTCACCTTCACCTATGTCAGGGTGGGACAGATTTAGTGAGAGATCTAAGGAGCACTTTGCTTTGGGGGAAGTGACAGTCAATCCACCTGAATTGCTCTGAGTTCAGGTTACCAGATTTTTTACATCAATGTTGGGGGTTCTGAGAAGCCCCAGGAGTGACCACTGGACCCCCTCACTGCCAGGCCTGGGAGGAAGGTAAGGATGCAGGCAGCAACACCCCAGAGGGGCAGGATAGGGCTCTGGAGATGGCAGGCCGCTGAGCTTCTTATTGCTGTCTTGCCCAATTATTGGTCAG